GACATCTTATTACTGTCGAAATGAATAATTTTAAATATTTTATTATTAATATTGCATTTTTTTTTATATCTATAAACAGATTTCTGTAATTATTAAAATTGTCTCGTTTGTTTAACAGTACAATGACTCCGAAATGCATTAACGTTTTATAACCAACACAATACTCGAATTGTAAATAAATGCATCTGATTTAAATTAATTGAAGTTTTAAGTCTTTACCCATTTGAATATCGAAATTGGAACATTTAAAACAAATTTAAAATATTTAATTTTGTTGTTTTTGCTCCAAGCAATTAATTAATGAATAATTTTGTCGATATGTACCGTTTACAACATTTATCAAAGGAACGATATCTATTTTTATCTGAACTTTTCCACGAACAAAGCTACCACTTGAATTGAAAAGCCCTCTAAACCTGCTGACAATGTATCCAAATGAGTGATATAACTAACAATAAATGTTTGAATTTGAATTGGTGGTTCTTGTTAGAACTTCTGTGGAGCCATCTGAGGTAAGTGGTCTACAAAAATTTACCCAGAACTATTCACATGTTAATTTTTGTATCTGTAGAGAAGACAATTGTATTCAAGTGTGATAAAAATCAGTAAAGATATATTAAATAGAATTTATACATGTATTCATCACATTAGAAAATGTTTAGAAGTCAAAGGCCACCAATTTAAGCATTTATTTTAATTAGTGGACATTTAAATAAATTGTATAATTTCTCTTTGGATCCAAATTTTTGAACCACTCTGCTAAAAAATTTTTAAATACTGATCTTTTTGTTTAACTATTACTGTATTAAAATATACAATNCAAAATAGAAAAAAGTTTCTAATATTTTTATCTTGGGCTTATGGGAAAAATAATTTTTTGTACTGTGTGGACTGTCTATTTAATTCTTATATAATTAATAATATAGTCTCAAATTTATTTATTTATTAAGTTTTCAACACTTAATAAAACTTGTATAATTTAATTAGATTTTACAGTTATTACATGATGTTGATTAAATAAGTAATTTAAACAAATTATTAAAAAACTTGATTTATCTAATAATTTATAATTTGATGAACTTTCTTACAGCAACTCTATAGATCAATGGGCATGGCATAAAACTCCAAGAGAGCTTTTTGCTCAATTTTATTTTTCAATTAGCATATTAATATAAATTAAAGCACTATTTTCACATACAGTATTACAGTTTGAATTGATCAATTACATTAGATATAACTTTAGTGTAGATAGTATCCTTATTAAAAAATCTTAGGAATTACTAGTATTAAAGTATATTAAAATAAAATTTGGAAAAATTACTCACTCTCCAGATCCTCCACAATAGCAATAACACTGTTGTGTATTTGTTTTATGGTGGGCATCCCATGTCAGAGTATTTAGCTAAATTGAAAAAAAAATTGTTAAATGATATTCTATTACTACTACAGAGAATGGAAATATTATTTAAAATAAAATAATCTAATGCTATCCTTTCAAGAAGAATTTCATAAATGATAACAAAAATTTTTTTGCCTTCATTCACAAATCTAAAATAAATCTCTTAGAAATACTGTGCAGTCATGATTTAAATGGGAATCATGTTGCTCAAGCATAACCATTACAAATTTTAAAAAAATTAAGAATGATTATCTTTCAGACACTAAAATTTGAATTTTTAATTAGTCAAAATTTTTGAAACATAAAATAAGCTGAAAAATTAAGAAACTTTTACATAATGTGTAAGTAAACAGAAAAAAAAAATTATTGGTACATTTAAAAATAATTATGGTATTTATAAATGAAATTTTGTGTACTTTTCTATGATAAAATTTCTAACATAACATACATAACAGTAAAAATAGAAAATATAGGTAGTGTATAAATATCACTCATTGAGATTTAACATTTAATTTCTGAAGTTAGTGAACAATTTAAAATGTATCTATTTATATTTTGTGTAGACATAATAAGATTTAACATAATACTGCATTTTATTCACATTTTACTACTGACTTTTTTACTATAATCAATAGAGGATGTTAATAATGCATTTCTTGCACACATTTTATTTGTCAACTCTTTGTTTCACTTTTCTGATGCTTTGATCACAATATGCATTTCAGAAAGCAATTTTCTTCTTAATTGATACAATCAGTTGCATCTTTTCCAACATATCACGTAAGACTACACTTGATAGGACTTTTAGGATATACAATTTATGTTTACACAAATCCAATAATTCATGGGCAAGACATATGTTATTGATTGATTATTGGAAAAATTTTATAAAATTGATTTATTGTTAATTTTTTGTATTAGAGCATCATATTATTTCAAAATTGTTTAATATAAACACAAGTAATAACTATTTTATTATTAATCTGAATAATTATAAGTAAAATACATCGATAAGTTAATTTGAAAGCTTCAACGTATTCCTATAATGCTTTCATATATTTTTATAATGCTTAATATATATTTGTTTATCTAAAATACAAGCATGTTACATTATTAAGTTAATACATTAATTCCATTATATCCAATTATTTTTGTAGTTGTGTGATCTCATATCTGTATGCATGCATTTTATTAGTTTTATACATTCCACTTAATCTAGTGGTGAGGCTTCCAGATGGTATATTTTATTATGAAAATATTGAATTTCATTTTATGGTTTTAAACAAATCTAAACAGCTTTATTTTCTGCATTATCTAACAAAAATATAATCACAATCAAAATTCTTTTACTACAACAATAGTAAAATGCATTTTGGGATTTTGTAATGCAAAAAAGAGGGATTGTTGTTATGCATATTCATTTCCTTTCTAGAATAGACTAGCATCCACTTATTTGGAAAAAAATTTTTTAAATGTTTTCCTATTAGATAGCCGTCTTGATTTACTAATGAATTTTATATATATGTGTGTGTTTCAGTGCTACAATTTCCAAACTAAATATAGTAAACTTGCAATTTATTTTAAAATTTTATTTGCATTCACTCATTTAGTTAGTTCTAGTTTTACAACAATTTTCATATAACAGCTGTTTTTTATACATCAGGAAATACTCATTTTTATAACTATTTTTGTAATGCTGAAATTGTCCATTTGTTTTCTATAATTATTCTTTAATATGCTATAAAAATGTAAAAACTTTCAGGTTACAATTAATACTAATTAAATTGTGTAATTTTAATTTAACAGTAATAAGAATAGACATTACCCAAAATAGAAAAAAGTTTCTAATATTTTTATCTTGGGCTTATGGGAAAAATAATTTTTTGTACTGTGTGGACTGTCTATTTAATTCTTATATAATTAATAATATAGTCTCAAATTTATTTATTTATTAAGTTTTCAACACTTAATAAAACTTGTATAATTAAAAAACTGACTTACATTATAAGGCAAGGATTGTTTCATTACTTGCAATTCTTTAGCTAGAATAAAAAAAAAATTGTTTCATTAAAAAGCAAATGTTTATTTGTTAAAATAAAAATACTTCATCAAAAATTCATTTGAAAGAGGCATATATATTTGGAATTGAGAAGAATTTGTCTGCTTAAACATCTTGTGAGTAAAACACTAGATGCTAAAGAGATTTGGAACTTTACTTCAAATATTGTGTGTCAAATTATGTGTGTGTTGTGAAAGTTAAAAACTATCCTCATTGAGACTCTCTTGTGAGTTTCTTCTGGAGAAGGACATTATAGCTTTTAATTCATATTAGATAGCACTGCAAGGTTTAATGAAGACTGTCAATTTGGAGACTTCAGAATCAAATGCAGATTAAAGACTTCTGAATCTTCAGAAGTTTGGTCTCTTTTCTACCATTCAACCAGACAGACTGGAGATAAAATTGCACAAAGGCAGATGTCCTTAAAAACAGCAAGCAGTTATGCTTGATACTTTATAATTAATACTGTATTTTTGCGAAATGACTTGTATGCCACATAAAAATAGGGAGACCAGCATGCTGGAAACCAGAGTTACCAGCATGCCTGTTAAACTGCAACTAAAATATAAAATTAATTGAATGTAACAGAACTAGTTGTTAATTAAACGTTTAAGAAAACATTCTTCCAAGTACAATAAAATGACAACATTGTAATTTGACTAACTTAAAATCAGAGAGTTTTCGATTAGAAGACAATAAAACAATTAAAGACTTATTGGTGGTAGTAGTGGTAGTAGTAGTACTAGTAGTAGTAGTAGTAGTAGTCAGTGTGAGCTACACTGACCTTAAAAATAACACCCTCCTCTCATATTTCACACAAAGCCAGAGTTAATCTGTGTAAACTGAAATAATTTACAGCCAGTTTCTTATATTTAATACCTTTATTTTTTTTAATCAAATAACAATAAATACAAAGAAAAAAATCACTTTCAGAATTTCACAGTATTTTGCATTGTTAGAAAGACGAAAAATGAAGAAATGAAACATATAATTGTAGTTTCTGATGTAATGCTGACAGTTTCACAGTTTTAGAATAGAAACTCGTTTGGTTTTTTAATACACCCTCTAGAGTGAGATGTATAATCTCACTTGTATAAACTAGCATGCCAGTTTTTATCATATGGAAATATCTGACTTCATGGTCTCCCCTGGATAGATCGGCATGTCTGTCATTCTGCAAAAATCTGATACTAAAATAATAACATTTCAGTATTAATATAAAAATATAAGAGCATGCTTTTTGCAAAAATATTTTTGAAACATGTCCTTCCCTTATAAGCATACTTTGCATACAAGAACACGCTCTTATGTGTGTCAGCTTTTTTCACTTATAAGAGCATTGCTCTACTGAGTCAATGTAAATGAAATAAACATGTACTCATACAGTAACCATTCAGTGACCAAAAATATTTAAAAAATGCTTTAGAAGAGAACAGAAAGAAAGAAAAGGAATAGACTATATTGGGAATAAGAGGGTGAACAAGCAAAGCAAGCATATAGTACACACAAAGCTTGCCGCTTGCTTTACGTGCACAATACAGTAGATCCCCCTATAAGACGGTAGATACGTTCCGTTCTTTATGAATCAATTTTGTAGGGATCATAGTTTACGGACTACGGCTGTTTGAAAGGTTTTCTTTCATAAAATTAATCGATTCTAGA